AAAAAAAAAAAAAAAAAAAAAAAAAAAAAAAAAGGAACGGGAGCAAGAACAAAAGATAGATCAGTAGAGATGCAGAATAAGCTCACCTGGTGAAGGAACTTGAGACACGGAGTACACGGCAGAATTCAGGCACCCGCCGGCTTTAAAGATGAGGCTCAATCGGAGACAATTTGCACGTCACAATTGAGGATACGAAGATGATGCGCGGTTTGCATGAGATTGAGAACCGCAAATTGTAAGAGGTTGGTGGGGAGTAGGCGGACCAAATTGTAAGAAGGATAATGAGGATGAGACAATATCCAAGATACGCGACGATCAGAATGGTGATAATCCAGGCGGCACAAGTAGTAGCCGCCGACTTGGAAACAAGTCAAGTGGGGGGGCGAAGAGGAAAAACAACAGTGGTTTATGGCCCAGGCATAATACTCTCAGCGGCGGCGCCCGTGTGGGTTGCAGGAGCAATGATTGTCAGATGGACAAGCCAAGAGAAGGGAGATTGACCATAATAATAATAATAATAATAATAATAATAATAATAATAAGAGCAGGAATGATAATAATGAGCATGGGCAAACCAAGAAAATAGAGCGAATAATAATGATCACAGTAATAGTAATGGCATTAAGAGAGCATTACTATTATAATAAATGGTGGTCGAGAAACGGCTGGAAATGAAGCTAATAGTACTGGGAGCGGGAGTGACCGCCTAGCAAAAGGCTGGCTTTTTTAATTCGAAGCGGTCAGCGAGGGTAGAAACCCGGAAAGGTCGTCGCAGGGAATTAAAAAATGAGAAAAGGAAAAAAAAAAAAAAAAAAAAGAGAGAGAGAGAAAAAGAAAAAGAAAAGGGAAATTAGACACAATCAGGATGGTTTCTTAGTTGAGTCAGCTAGAATTCTGCTCATTGAGGAGAAAAGGAATCTGAAGGAGATCCACTACCGGCCGAGCTGGAACCCGGGCCTTTCGGTGGAGACCAAGCGACGAGCGAAACACCAGCAATGCGATGTCAGTCTGTCAACATCTGTCCACTCTCCGGAACCTTTTAGTCTCTCTCTGGGGGAAGCAGAATCCAGACGATCCCCTCTCTGTGCCTGCCTCGGAATTGAATTCCAAGAAATAAATAGTCGAAATAGGTCGAAACGGCCGGAGGGGGACGGCGGGCTGGACGCTGACTCTAGACGCGCCAACAGGAAAAAGTGGGGGTGAGCACCAGGGGAGGAAATTCAGAGAAAGACAAGAGGTTAAGCTGCGTACCACTTGAAGAAGAGAAAGTACTGAACGGAGTATCAACGATCGTTCTCCCGATCCAATACCATGGAAGATTCAGATCAGATGGGAGAAAAGTAAAATGGAGAATACTCAGAAAGAGGGAATTTGTAAACCTGACCATCTCCGTGCATTTTTCTGTTCTTGATTTTTCCCACTTTAATTCTCTCGGGCTCCTTAGGTACTGGCAATCGCCCTCTCTTCATGGCACGTCCACGAGGCCGAACCAGCCGCAGTTCCACACCGCACTAAACCCAAAATGACCGGAACACACTTTTGAGGCTCTCCGCGAATGCACGGTGATTGGCGGGGACCCGACGGCCAAAACGAGGAGGCTGAACTGTTCTCTGCATCGAACCGCCATGGAACCTTGGGCACTCGCTTGCTTGTTCACCTGAAGAGGATTGACGGGGGGGGTGAGTCAAGCTGGAAAGCTAGATCGATGACTGACCTCATCGCTGATGTGGCCATTCTTCGCCATGCAGCTACTCGTGTCTACTCTGGCTTCTTTTCTCTCATGATTTGTTTTTCTCTTGTCCATGGTATTTTAGTTTTCCTGATCCTTGTGCGTTACTACCATCTACTATTGCCTTAGTCATCCTCCAAGAGCACAATTTCTCCGATGCGTCTTCCGTCGTAGCCTAAGTTTTGAGGCGACAAGGCTGTTAACTCCCTTGCTGGCTTGACCGCCACGCAACCTTAGCACTACTCCTTCCAGGTTAGTCTCCTGGGTCAACTAGTCATCAACCCTGAATCGACCGGATCAAAGCGTTTTGTGCGTCGGGGGAAAAATAATAATTCAATAAATAAATTAAAAAAAAAAAAAAAAAAAAAAAATCAGTTGCATAGGTATAATAATTGCTTAAAAAAGAAAAAAAAAAAAAAAAAAAAAAAAAAAAAAAAAATCAGAACCAGGACGAGAGCTACCAAGGACAGAGTAAAAAGGGGCATGACCCTCGAGGGTTTCATGCTTAACCTACGAATCCCCGAATCCCCCGTGACCAACACAAAGCCCATTCTCATCGTTTTGAATGTTGGGTTGAGATCTTTTCGGATAATTATTATCAGGTCCCGTCCATGATATTATTCTTGGTTTGTTATTCTTAGTGCCTAGAAAATCCACTCATAGGTAGTGTACGACTTGGTAGCACCCTGCAACTGTCGACTGGGCCCGTTTGATTCTGAGTGCGACCAGTCAGGATCCCGATAGGAAATGGGGATGGGCACTGTTGCAGCAAGTTTAGCGTGGTCCTGAAGAATCACGCGTGTTCGGTGTGAGGCTGTACAGAAATATAGTTAGACTGAGGGTCAGAAGCGAAAGAGAGAGGGAGAGAGAAACCCAAGAGCAAAAGGAGGGGGGGGAATTTCGTGCTACGCCTGTCACTCTGCAGGAGATGATCGGACCAGAGATGTAGCCCCACGTTGGACCGGTCTCCACTTGGGATTGCACTACTTGCTGTTGGTTGCCAGTAGGAGTTATTCATGGGCTTGGAGTGACCAGAGAAGTCATTATGCATCGACGGTCCTACGTCGGTGGTGCACAATCAGCCTTTTAGCGATCAAGCGGGCGTAGCTGATTCTCGTCTAGAGGGATTCTAGCGCTAGTATAATAACAAGCCTTAAGCCACGAATACGAATAGCTCCATAAAAGAACGAACCCATCGGGTGAAGTATATCTTCCTAGGGCTATCTGGGTTGGATTGTTGTTGTTTTTTCCCTGTGGCTTCTTTCGATCTTTTCGTCCTTTCTCTACCATTGCGATTGCTCCGGATATCAATCATATGGATGGGGTTCCAATCTTGGAACCATTCGCAGATCTAGCTTCCCTCTGACTGATTGCAGATCCATCAGCAGGATGCAGGACATGGTCAGGTTTCTCTGTCCAACATTTACCCATGGATGCTCCGCCTGAATATTGGCAATTGGCCGAGAAGCCAAAAACCCCTCTTTCACTTTTCCAGCCTCTTGACATTCGACGCTGCCTAGACCCCTTATTTTCTTTTTGCTTTTTGTTTTTTCCCTCTCCCAACGGCCACGATCGAGTCTAGTGGCAAAAAGGTTTAATTCTAAACTCGATCCGAGTCAAACAAACTACGGCAATCTGCCATTCCTGTTCCCTCTGCTCGGTAGGTGGGGAATCGATATCTCCCGTATACTCCGTTTTGAACGGACACAGGAATCGGATGCCTGTATTACCGACAAGGTGATAGTCTGACTGGAAAAGGCAAAAGGAAAAAAGGTCTCACTCAATCCCACCGGTTGATTTATTTCTCGCAAGCACAAACGCGGCCCGCTCCGGGCCCCATCTTCATCTCAATGGATACAACCAAAAACCTACCAGGGTCGCATCCCTTCCCCAACCATCTTAGTTTAATGTGCAATTAATTTATCAAGCATTCCGGACGCTCATAACATGATCTGTTATTGACATCATATGGATGGTGTGCTTCCGGTAAGCACCGGGTTGATCATTTACCGTTTGTCACCTGTAGGCGAGGCGCTGTTTCGGCCGTCGAACGATGAGTCTGCAGGGATCTCTCGATCGGGGCATTTTTGTCAAGTGGGATGGTATTCAACGGTGTGGGCCAATGAAGGAGATTGATCCTGGTCGCCGCAGAAAGGGGAGGGTCAAACCCCACTGTGATTATGGAGACTGAGGGAATGAGAGGGAGAGACTCCGCGAGAGAGAGAGAGACAGGTAGCCCTCACTTGGCCGTCAAACCCCCTCTCCCCCATTAAACTATCCGTGAGGACCTGTTGTTGGCCTGTCAAGCTTACTAGTTAGGGTCAACTTGGACTTCCTAGCATGTAGACTGTAGATTGGGTATAGGTATAGGATGTGATGTCGTGATGAAGGTAGTATTTGCCCTCTGGTCGGTTTTCTCAGCCCGGAGTTGCCCGATGTTTTTTTGCTTTTCTTTTCCTTACCCGCCTTTTTAACCCTTACATGAGGCAACGAGGAAAACAAAGCACATGAGCCGCACCCAATTATCATGGTCCAAGCGGCTCACTGCTGACATTGCGTTGGTGACCGCCCACTGGACCATCAAATCCCTTGGCGCATATACGAGTCATCTTCCGAATCTCCGATCGTCAAAACAATTCGTCATTGACACCCTCAGGCTTCCAAAATGTAAGAATTTCAATTATGTAGAAACCCTGCCAATTACGACGACAATTTCTGGGGCTTACGCTTGCCTTCATGGGAAGAACAGACTCTATTCGTCATCTACCTGAGCTTGCATTATCCTGCTTGCGTATGGGGTTCGGTATAAATCACAAACTATGAATGAATACCCGACAGGCCGTTATGCACCAATGGGCCACCCCTCCTCCCCTTTGCTGATCGCATATACGTCGCTGGCCTACACGCCACAGGTCTACGAGCAGGGTCCGCATTAGGTTCATTCTAGCCGTCGGAAGAGATTGGACGGTTAGCAGCAAAGCTACAGTTTGCCTTTTTGAAGCATTGTGTTCTGGACGGCCTTGACCCGTTCCCAGGCGGCCAACGCGAACGGCGTAGTCTTTTTGGCATGTTCGTGCGCTTGGGCACTGCTGGCCTGTCTCAGTGCATAGCGAGCTTTGACTCCTTGAAGGATAATCGAGAGCCTCCAGGCAAAGAAGGCGTCTCCCCAGGGGAGGTCCGGGGTCGGGTCCCATCCGCCCACTTCGCGATACCACCGCACGCAGTCTTCACGTGCGGGTAATCCAGGTATCCGGCCAGGTTGGAACTGGTCGGTCGAGTGGTCGGTGCCATCCAGATAGTACGGACTCGTGAGGTTACAGAAGTCCGATAGGGGATGCCCCACCGTAGCCATCTCCCAGTCCAGGATACCGATGACGCGGGGCTCAGTCTTATGGAAAATCATATTGTCGATCTTGTAATCGCCATGGACTAGCGTGCCGCGATCCTTCGGCTGAGTAGACTTATTCGAGAAGAAGCGCACCGTCTCCATAAAATGCGGAAGTTCCCCCACTGGCTCCTTGGTCTCAACGTCGACCGCCTGAGACTGCGCTTTGGACACCGTCGAGAAGGTGGAGATCTGCCGATCATAGTACCCCGACGGCTTTCCGAAAGTTTCCAGACCAACTGACTTGGGGTCGACTCGATGGAATTTAGCCAGGGTCTGCACCGCTGCCTTCCACCTACAGGGTTCTTTTCTTAGTAATCGAGGCTCATCCTCAGATGACGCATGGGGACTAAACATACAATGCGTTTCTTTCCTCAGCACTAACTCCCGGCATGGCAGGATCGGTGAATAGCCGACCGTCCAAGAACTCCATGATATAGAACGGGGTCCCAATCACATTGCTATCTACGCAGAGACAGTAGGCCTTTGGTACGGGGACGTCTGTCTGCTCGAGTGCGTGGATGACCTTATATTCGCGTTCGACCTTATGCGCGGTCTTGGACAGGAGCTTGCCCGGGGGCTTTTTGCGCAGGACGTACTGCCTTCCATCGGTGCCGGTCAGCAGATAAGTTGGATTAGACTGTCCGAACGAGAACTGTGGGGAGTTAGATCGTGCCCATCAGCCATACGTGATTTGGTCCCACTGTGCTTACCTGTTTCACATCTAAAGGTGTCTGGATCTCAGGTACATTCTGATTGAGATACCGCTCCAGCGACGGGATATCAATTGGTTGGCGCACCGCTCCAGCCATGGCCAACAAGTATAGTAATTAAAAACAAAACAGATAGGATTGATTTCCGGGGATAGTAATAGTTATCTGCGAACTAGATGCCTAGATCGCAGGGAAGTTAGCGGGATCATTCTGAAGACAGGAGGCCCGGCAATAAATGCAGGAAGATCAATTGTGAATCGTCCAGTCCATGGCCGCCACGGACCGAGGCTAAACAGCCAGACGACCTCATTGGCATTTGCGGGGCGTTCGGCAACCTCCACAGCTGCTTGACCCCAAGTGAAAAATTTCGTACCAAGCTCAACTTACACTCTTCTTTTCCACGTTGTGGGGTATTCTATTGGCTAGACCCTGTTTACATACAGTATCTTTCGTCAGAAGCCATACACCCCCAAATTTGTCGCCCTTCCCTTCCTCCTGATTGCCTAGGCTAATCCAGGGCAATGCAAACCACCCAAACACAATGCCTCCAACGCCAAGCCCATTAAACGCGCTACGCGTCTACACGCGCATAACCAAATCGACGATCCACCACCACACACCGCAACGACAAAACCACCTCCACCACCTCAAAAACCTCCTCACAACCATGACCAAAGAGACCACTCCCCCGCCCGAACAACAAACAACCACAAGAGAACCCCCCTCACTCCCGACCTCACCCATCGCCAAGCGCCCCAAGCCCAACACCACCACCGAAGACCAGTCCAAAATGACCAACAACACCCCCGTCACCTCCATCTCGCAGCCTCTGCCCCCGCTGCTCATCAAGAAGCTGAACGAGGGCGGCCGCGCCCCGACTCGCGGCTCCGCCTTCGCAGCCGGATACGATGTCTATGCTGCTAAGGAGACGGTTATCCCGGCTCGGGGAAAGGCGCTGGTTGATACGGGTATTGCTATTGCTGTGCCAGAGGGGACCTGTACGTTTTTCACTTCTTCTCTATTTCCCATTTACTCTAGGCCCGAGCTTGTGTGGACTGTTGTTTCTTGGAAAGGAGATGGTTGAATTGAAGAGGGGATGTTCGCTAACGCATGATACCCATATAGACGGCCGCATCGCGCCCCGCAGCGGCCTCGCCGCGAAGCACTTCATCGACACTGGCGCTGGAGTCATTGACGCCGATTACCGTGGTGAGGTGAAGGTTCTCCTGTTCAACCACTCCGAGGTCGATTTCCCCGTGAAGGCTGGAGATCGCGTTGCTCAGCTTATTATCGAGCGGGTATGTTTTTCTCTTCTCTTTCTCGATCGTTTTCATTCTGCTTCCTTCCATTCGTCAGTTTTGGTTTTTGGGTTCATTTGATTTATGTGCGTGTTGTTGTGGCTGACTTGCGGGACAGATCTATACCCCCGAGGTTATGGTTGTGGAGGAGTTGGAGGAGAGTGTGCGTGGTGCGGGCGGCTTTGGAAGCACTGGTACGAACTAATGACGATATGATTGGTTTTGGATGGGGTGGGTTTCATATACTTGGCGTTGGTTATATAGAAAAGAATTGGATTTTTTTTAATTACTCTATTATTTTTTATTGGGTTTGAGGAGGCTGTGCTGGGGATTATAGACCGGTATAGAGCATGTGATTTGGTCATTAGACTTTCAAAGCTCATGGATGGTTGCAGTATGTATGCTAGCCGTACATATTTATCATCTAGTTCTTATCTATCGTACGTTACATAGACAGCACAGTGGTCTATTGGCTTCCCGCCGGTAAATCTTCCTTCCTCCACTCCTGCGCCTGGAACACCACCGTCGGCTCACGCAGGTACTGCACGTTCCTCACCAATCTCACCTCAGCTGCTTTACTCTTGCGCAGATGCTCCCGCTTCAGCCTCTCCTCTTCACTAAGCACCTCATCGCCCCGGGTATCAGCCGCCCGGAGCTCCGCATCGCGCGCCTCCATCGTCTTCTCGAGCACGCTGTGCATGCTCGCCAGAACCTGGACGGTCGCTCGCGCCAGAGGGAGGTCCGTGGCCTTGACCTCGTCGGGGGACACCCAGGACTTTGTCGTCCGGAGCTGGGGGTCCGCGGCGAAGACGGCTTCCCGGAGGCGGGCGACGATGAGCGCAGCAAACATGTCACCTGTGCCGCTGAAGTAGCAGTCCAGGGCTGGGACGTCGATGCGGAAGAGACGAGGGGACCCGTCGGAGCGGGTTGTTGAGCCGATGACGGTCAGGCTGTCTGGTGGGGTAGTGGTCTGCGATGAGGGTGATTGGGTGAACCTGGACAGGTCGACGGAAGTGATGATTATGTGGGGGACGTTGTAGGTGGCGTGGATGGCGGTGATGGCTTCGGCTAGCGTGCTGAGAGAGGTGATTTTGATTCCCGATAGGGTTCTACGAGGCATGAGTCACATTTTCGAGACAACAGGGCTAGTGGCTTGACTCACTCGGCTTCGAACTGATTGGGGAGAATCAGGTCCGCGTGGTGGATGATCGTCTTATAGGCTGGTACCACGTCATTGCTAACGTATAGGCGGCCCTGGTCGCCCATTACCGGGTCCAGGACTATGGGCCGTTAGTGAGGACGCTAGATGTGCACCGTGGATCATGCTTACCCCAGAAGAAAGAGCCGGGGTTCTTTTCAGCCTTGCGCTGCAGATCCATGCCGATGGCTCCTACAGCCTCGACGGCTGCGGCGCTGGGCGCATAGCCGGACAGCATGACATCAAAATCCGTTAGATGGCTCTGGCATAGGCCCTCATAGAGTTCAGTAATCTGCTCGGCGGTTGCCCTGGTGCCTTTGAATTGCCTGTAGCCAGTATGGTTGCCTGTTTGGAATATCATCAGTTTCGGGCCTACTAGGTAAGCGTGGGCAATGACTCACTGAAATGGACGGTATTCAACGCGGCAACATCACAGCCCAGTAGTTGCATGACCAGCGTTGCCATTTTGTTTCCGACATAACTGACCTCTCATGTTAGTAATCGAGTCATGATCTGTCCAAGTAGATGGTGTCCGGGGAAGCCATTGGCCCATTGCGGGGTGATCCGGAGAGGGATGGATTTCCAGATCTCAACAACGAGATACTTACCCATAGACAACCTATACATACCAGATTAATCAAGCTGACCTTATATGGGGATCATGACCGCATTTGACAAAATGACTTACATGGCTTGCAATGGCAAGGACCCGGGTCTCGGGGACTAGAGAGTCTGTGGACATGATGGAAGAGTGGAGATGAAAGACTCCAAGGGCTCAGTTGAAGTCAGAGAAACGGACCGTCAATAGTCGCCGACAGATTCTCAGGACCAGAGGATTCAACGACAGGAAATCGCCATTCGTAAAGAGCCAGACAGCGTTCCATGTCAATATCCATCAGTTTCTTAGTCAGTCGGATCGAGAAAGTGGGATGCATTCCCCGGGCCTTGATTGGCTGATGCCTCCGGGTTGTCAACCTGCATCTGATATGCTTATCGGCCCGATAAGGCCATACTTTCATCTGCCACATTGTATATGCCAGTGGAGTCAACTTCCCATCTATATCGCAGTTTACCAGGGCCCTTTTACGTGTGCTAATCTCGATATAGCACGCCAGGATCCACTGCGTTTAGATATATGCGAGATTTCTATACAGAAGGAGCAAGTCATAACGATAGCTGCCAGCTAGGGCACACATATTATGCCTAATGATCTGTTCTACTTCTTAACTAGCTTTTAGCGCAGAGACGACATTAGTAGTCTTTCGTCTTTCGCTGCCTTTTGGCATAGAAGATTTGGCTTCACTTGTTCCAGTCACGCTCTCAATGAGATTCGGTGCTAATCAAAAGAGCCAGTTGTGGCATCAACCCTGTTGCTATGCATGGCAGTCCAACCCACCTTGTCGTCAGTAGTTCGTGTGCTGAACTAGAGGCGTTGGAGGGGAGCGAGATCTGATAAGCTCACTGATTCAACTTGGTTGCAGCACTGAGAGCCAAGGTGTGGATAATTTCACGTCACTTTTTGGAATTCCGTCAGATCCTGTGTACAGGGCGTGGCGGCCATCCAAGGGCTTCTTCAAAAGAAAAAAAATGTAGGGCCCTAGGCTACGGTCAACTTTGGTGAAGCAACGCGACATTTGGCCTCCGCTTCACAGGAGATGGTCTGTTCGAGACTATTCCGGAGAAGCATCTGCTGAAGAGGTGCCTTGTTCTTCTGCTTTCGGCTGACTTAATTCAATTGAATGTTGTAGACAGTCCTTCGCTTATGCGTTAGGTTATGGTAGGATCTGGTTTGAACGGTGGGCGGCTTCGAAGGAAGCGGGTGTAGCAGATATTGAAAATGTACTGAAAAGGGGGTATATCTCTGAGCTCCTTCATTGTGAGGGGAACGGGGTCGATAGCCGTATGTCTTGAATGAAAAGAACTCTGAGCTAGATGGAGAGGTGGGTAGCTGCAGTCATAAGGAGGAAGCTGAAACAAACAGTACCCCTAAGCTCTTTGCTCTTACCTAATCCACGTTTTCCTCTGTTGGGGAACTCCTTTCCTTGGGATGTTCCGCCCCGCTGTGACAACGATGGCCTGTTGTGCAGCGACCTTCGCCGTAGGAAACGAGATGCGTATGGCAATTTCCGTGGAGCGCGGCCACGGGGTTTTCTAATGTGGTCGCATATTTTGTGAAGCTTCAGAAGCTGGATTTTTCCGAAGGGAAAAATCGTATCTGTCAGCATAAAATTCGCCGTAACTGTGCCAATCGGAACTGTATAAAAACAACCCCATCCAAATACAGTTGAGGGTATCCTAAAACGGACCTCTGGGCCGAATCATCGCAACCGAGTAGCTGGTTGTTTCGCATGCTGCTGTTCCGCGCGATCTGGTATCCGCTCTTCTCCACACTCACTCGGTTGAGTCTCGTGGACTGGTGCACCGACCGGCATTCACGGGACCTCGCACGGGATAGCATAGAAGTGTGGATTCACCTCCTGCTGTGGTCTGTTTGATCAACGTGGAGATGACCATGTAACCGAGCATGAATTGACTCTTGAGTGGGCTAAGCGCTCTGGTTCTCCTAATCGATCGGATACCGGACCAGACCCGACCAAAATTTTGCTCTGCTGCCATGGATGCATTGGGCGGTTGCCCAATGGAGGCTCTTTTCTAATTCAAGTTGAATGAGCTGTGGATCACGACTGTCTTGGTCCAGGGGAAACAAAGGAACGACGATGTATAGAGATGCCAATCCGGTGGCTGATAGGACAGGGATGGGAACTGCACCGTGCCCGGAGTGTATTTGGTGGAGAACGGCACAGACGGAGAACGAAATGCGTCCGTGGTTGTGGTTGTTGTCCAAGTATGAATGGGTTAGCAACTTGGCACCTCCTGCAAGGATGGCCTTTTTTTTTTCTTTTCCCATGTCACGTCTAGAATCAGGCAAGCAAGGCACAGAACATACCGTGACTTAACTAACCCTGACATGATCGAAGACCACTCAAATAGAAGGAATGGAGGCATTGCGTTATCCTTCTCTGATTTTTGGTTCTCTTTTGACTCTTTTTCTCGATTTCTATTTCTATTTTCGTTTCTTTCTTCTTCCCAATTTTTTTCCCCTACTTAATTTTTTTCGTTCCTGTACCTAATGTAAACTTAATAGGGCACGGCGGAGCACCAATGATAAGAGCCGTCAGCTACTAAGAATAAATCCCCGTCTAGTGTCGGGTCCAGAACCCATTCTTTTCCAAGGCCTTTATTTCTTGTAATTCCCCTTTTCTCCTGGCCGGCACTTTTTACCTGTCAAGTCGCTGTTGTTTTTAATAACCGTAATTAATTATAAGTCTGGGGGGCTGGAGCACGAGTGGATTTTTTGCATGATAGTTCTCTCTTTAAACCTCATCTTCTCTACAACACCACTGCCACTGCTTGGCCTCCTCGCTCCCAACCACCAGATGAGTGGCCAGGTACCGTGGTGATCGTTCTTACCATGCTCCTTTCATAAAATTAATCCCACCTTTTGTCTCTCTTTTCTGTTTCTTACCGACACTCCTTTACATGCCCTTTTGTGGCAAGCCATTCGTTTACAACCTCTGCCATCGCAATGAAATTCCGATGGCATACCACTGTCCGAGCGCCGGAAAGCCGAACTATGCAAATCAGCAACATGCGTCCTCGCCGACGGACTCAAATGCCCAGCCTTCGCCAATTACTACTGACTGTCATTGCGGTCCCATCCGTTGTCGCGTCCGTGATCCCATCCGCCGCCGTCTGGACAGATCTAGATTCCACCACCGCGCTCGACCTCCCCGTTAGCGGAGAGATCGTCACCGACGATCTTCAAGATGTATCTCATTCTCCACTCGAGGAACGTGCGGCATGGGAACCCGTCCAGCTAGACAGCAGCTCTGAAGAAGACGCAGCAGCGCACCCGCCCATCCTCCTATCACCCGAAGAGAACGAGCAGACCAACGACAATGCACAACCAGCACTATCCCAAAGATCGACAAGCAGCAGCAGCAGCAGCGGCGGCGGCGACACGCCGACGCCATTCGACAGCAATCTCTCGACGAACTTCACGTCCGAAAGCTGCCCGAAATTCTTCAAGCAGTTCCTGTCAGACTCCAAATTCGCCAAATGCTACGCCATCTCGATGCTCCTGCGGGACTCCAGCTCATTCTTCCAGACGCTCAAATCCGCGCCGGCCACCTCGCACGTCCTGGACCTGGCCTGCGCCGCCGACATGGACCAGTGCTCGTCCGTCATGACCGACCTCGCGTCGCGCATCACCAAATCCGACGCCTGCGGCAAGGACTACGAGCTGGGCAACCCGGTCGTGACAAACGCCTACACCGACATGATCATCTACGAGCCCATGTACCGCGCCTCGTGTCTCAAGAACCCCAGCACAGGCGACTACTGCTTCGTCGACGCCGCCACAAACAGTTCCAACCCCTCCGACTACGACGTCTACTTCATCCCCTACGGCAGCGCAATCACCAACGCCCCCTACCCCACCTGCAACGAATGCGTCCAGGCCTCCATGGACATCTTCGGCGAATGGGCCCAGAAAAGTGGCCAGCCGCTCGCTCGCTCGTATCTCCCCTCGGCCAGGGGGATCAACTCCAAGTGCGGGGTGCACTTTACGAATGCGAATATCACGGTTGCAGCAGATGGGGAGTCCTCGGCGGCTTCGTGGGCGGTGCGTCGTCCCGATGGGATTCTAACGGCGTGCGTGGTTGGCGTGAGTATTGTGGCAAGTCTTTGGGGGTTGATTTAGTTTCCCCCCCTCCGGTCACTCCTTATTCGATCTTTTGAGCTGTAGAATTGTATATTTCCTCGTTCTTCTTCGGCTTCGGACTCGCGTTCAGGTCACGGTTATGGGTTATGACAGCGGTTGCTTCTTTCTTTTATTCCCGCTTGGTTAGATATCTCTTTAATGTTTATACCTGTATTTAATCGGTTTCTTACAATCCTTACATATCATTTCTTCAGCCTACATTCTGACAGGTGTGCGCAACTGTATGACTGGAAGGTGTAATATTTATGTATCAATATCGACACGAAATCAAACGTAAGACATCAAATATCATCCTAACCCTTCGTCAAGTTCTAATATGTGCCTTGGGGCTCGTCAAGAGGTATATCCAAAACAAACGAAGAAAACATATCCAATAAACGACAAGAAGTAGAGGCTATAGAACTGTCATAATCATAATGTATCCTGGTAGATTTTATGGTATCTTGGGTATAAATGGTCAAGCGAAACGATCCAAAAGAGGCATAGAAGGGACTGGGGAGACAGGGTGAGGCATGATAGCCAACGCGTCTCACCGTAGCCCGTCGCCCATTGCCACCCCAACTAGACTTCGGGGGGCTCCCATTTCCGGTCCTGAGATGGGGCTCTGCGAGGCAGCGTCTCGCTCACGCTTTACTCGGAAAAAGGCCAGTTTTGCAAACCGGTTCAGTTGATTCCAAAAGTGTTGGCCAGCAGGGTGTTTGCTGATCCGCTCCAAGAGGTCTACTGTCGCCTCGCGGACCGTCTGATCAGGGTGGAAGAGTCCCATGCTTAGGTAGAAGAGGCCGGCTTGGTTTTCCGGTGTGACCGTTAGGAGCTGGCAAATGCCAGCGTAGTCTTTGACGGCATAAGCAAAGGCGATGTAAATTGCTCCCGCTTCAGGCGAAGATAATTTTAGGGTACGGAGTCGTTCATGGTGGTGATGAAGGTCTGGTTTTATGATCGGTCGCGTAGGATAATATATGGCCGCGATATCTTGGATGAAGGAGTAATACGAGCGTGTTGTTCGCCATCCTTCGATTCGGGAGACCGACGCCATCAGTTCGCGTTGTTTCGATATCTCGTCGGGCCAGACGTGGCCATGTCCTCGCAGTGTCGTAGGGTCCAAGGGGTCCGCCTGAACCCCGCTGGGGCTTTCCGGGGACAGCTCTTCATTGGGGCCGATGATATAGAGATTTGAGGCGCCGTAGACGGTTTCCTCAAAGGCGGAAGCAACGCGTGCGAACTTCAAGATGTAGGCACGCCATTTGGCTCGGATGGCATTTTCACCATAGCGGTTGGTAATGCTGCGCTGAACGTCTTCCATAAATAGATTGTCTCCGGTAGGGTCGGAGTTCAAGTTCGAGGCATGGAGATGGTTCAGTCCTTGCTGCTGAAAATACAAGAGTCCTTCGGTGATCGGTGCAGGCTCAACGTGACTACTGATTTTGATTCTGCCCGTAGGGAGATCGCAGAGCACATCCCACCACTCGGGGTGGTTGGCGAACGTGGGATTGGTCACACCGGCAATGAAGCCGGGAACCTTGAGGAGATCATCAATTTTGGTCAAATCAGTGTAAGGGAACGCATGCCTGGTGAATCCACGCAGTATCCCACCGGATGCGAGTGCGCAAGCAGCAAGTACCGCCTCCGCAACCTCTCCCGAAGGGCGATTATGGCCCAGAAACACCACCCGTTTTTGGGTTAACATCGCATTGACCAGAATGATGATGGGATGAGTATAGGGACCGCTGGTGGTAAGGTGAGGGTGGATTGGGAAGGGCTGAGGGGAGGCACTATGAGGGCCTGAGAAGGTTTGGATGAGCTTGATGAGAGAGAAATCTCCCACGACCTCAGGCCAGATCACCGTGGGTACCTTGACCGGAATAGGGATATCATTATAAACGATCCTGGACTCAAACTCATGAGTATCTCGAGGAAGCGTGTACTTGGAGGCCTGCTTTTTGGGCGAAGTCGGTGAGTCCGGGTCGGATGACTCTCCCTCCTCCGCAATTCGCTGACGGATCATCTGCTCGAACTTTTCGATAAACATATCCTTGCAGTTGCTAGCCTGCAATATCTGTCGCTCTAAAAGGGACAGCTTGGGGAGGAGAGAAAGGTCCATGTCATTCAAAGCATTGTATAACGAGGCTAGCGTTTCCAGATAAGGGTTCTTGAAATAGTCTTCCAGGGCTAGAAGAAGTAAGGGCTATTGCCACGTTAGTTCACATCATCCGGCGTCTTGTCGGACGGTGGCCTACTTTATAGATATGGAGGAATGAGTGGCGTGTACATATAGCCATCGCTTTTACAACCGCACCTCTGTGAGCCGTTTAGTCGTGTTGCGCGCCGAGAAAGGACCAAGAAACATACCTTTTGACTGTATGGTCTTGCTTTGTATTTACAAGATTCAGAACATACATCAACGGTGGTCCCTCGCCACCCTCATCCTCATCATCACTGCTCTCCTCTTCCTTGCCAGACTCATCTTGATCCTCTTCACTGCCGCCGGCCCCGTCGCCCCCATGCGATGTTCTGGACTTCTTTTTCTTCTTCTTTGCCCCCAACGAGTCGTCATCGTCCTGGTCGGCACTGGAGTCCTTGTGCAAGAAAAAGATTGTCCAGTCCTGGCTTCGGACATGAGTTTGATCCGGAAGCATCAGCTCGGCCAGCATGCTTTCGTCACCGCTGATCGCGGCGGGATACTGATGTTCCATGATGGGGCCCCGGTCAATGTGGAAGGAGGCAACGAGGATGTACTCGACATGGCGCTCTGACGAGTCACGAGGATATTGCGATTTACATTTTCGCTGCCTATAGGCCGGGGGAGCAGCGAGGTTCGGCTCATAACCACGCACGGAGGTAGCGGAGTTGCTCACGGAGCGGTTGTGAACGAACGACGGGGAGGGAGATAACCGGGGTACACCATTACTTTTGGAAGAGCTGGACGTCGGAAGCGAACGAGCAGCGTCATCGGATGGTCGATGAGGGAGTGTGAGACTCATTTTCCTTTCAGGAGGCAAGAACATAGGAGGAATGGTTCGGATTCGATCGCGGGCAAGTTGACGGGATGTTTGGGGGACAATGGAGACGAGCAACAAAGGAATAACCGCATGCTCCTTGGAATTAATTGATCAACGACTAGATCGATTCCTCCCAAGAGACCATCTGCGACTCGGAAGTTCAAGCTGTCATGGTCAAGTAAGGCAAGGCTACTTTCGCCACGCTGAAAAGATCCCGTCGGAGGATTAGTTGACTGATCGACCATGTAATTCGTCCGATTCAGGGGTGGGAAAGGGGGAGTTTGGATGAAAAGAAGCCTTTAGATTTGGAGATCCACAGCGGGGAAATTCCACGGAAACACCACAATCGCCATGATCGGTAGACTCAATTGCGGGCAGAAGGGACGGTCATGACGGTTGCATGTCAATTGCAGCCGAAACTGTCAAAACTGACTCGTACTCAACTCATGAATTTTCCAGGAATGCCTCCATGCTGCTTCTACTCCGGATTAAGCTCCGCGCACGTGCCCATTGCTCTGCCGGGCCGACGTGATGCCGAAGTATTTGTTTGCTTTCGGCTTGTTTTGGGGTGCTTTGCTCTTCTGGGAAAGGTATTTAGCATTCTAGTTATCGTCGATATCAAATTGCGCCGCCACCAACCGTTAAAGTACTCCCCCGCGCCTGTACTTCTCTCAGCACTACTGGCTGTTGCATTCCATACATAGTACATATCTTTTGCAAACAAAGCTAATCATCCACCCCCGGGGGTACCTGCATCATGGTACGCATAATGTGTTTTCTCCCCCACAATTCCCCCATTGCCAAGCTCACCATGTTGCGCCTAGGTCACCTCAAATACGCCCTTTAAACCGTCGCCGTTATCCTTCAGCTCTCCTCGTGCCTCTCCTTTTCGTCGTCCCTCTACGCCGAACTCTCCGCCCACAGGGATCACGCCAGGGAGTTCACCCAGCCGAGGATACACCCCGGTAGTGTCTCCAAGCAAACTGAATCAGTCATATACCATTGAGCACGAAGATGCTTCGCCAACTAGTCGAGAACGAATCCCCCAACCCCGATTTTCAAGAGAGTCCCCATCTGCATCGCCAACCAGAGGGGCCAATTCACCAGATCGGTCACCGAGGATGGGTGTCCGGTCGATGGGCATGACGGCGGGTTCGTCAGATGCAGCTTCTAAACTAGCGCCGGCGCAACTCCGAGAAATCAGAGAGGCTTTTCAGGTTCTCGACCGGGATAATGATGGATCGGTGAACAAGGACGATGTCGCAGATGTGCTTGTGAATGTTGGTAGGTTGTGGAGGAGCCCTTCTCAAGAAATGGATAACCATATAGGGAGACACAAAGCTTACGGTGGTGAACAGGTCAAGATCCGTCTATGTTATCCGACTTCTTCCCCCCGGGGAGCCCTGAAACTATCAACTTCCCTACATTCTTGAACATCTTGTCCGGTCTACTCGCGCCGTTGTCGTCACGCCAAGAACTAGTGAATGCGTTGGCCGCTTTTGATGAGGACGATAGCGGCCAGATCAACGTGGGGGAACTTCGCGACGCTCTTTTACACACGACTCCGGACGAGGGAGAGCTTCCGCTCACCGAACGAGAGATCAACGAAGTTCTGAATGGGTTTACCGGGCGCAGGGCTTTTGGAGCCAAGAGCAGTAAGGGTCCTGGAGGAGGAAAGCGAGGGGAGGTATTTAGATACCCGGAATTTGTGGATGGGGTCCTGGGAGGGACCCAGAATGGACAAGCAAATGGACGGCAGGAAGCTTGACGCTTGGATTTACCGTTCAATGACCGGGTTCTGGCGTTCTCGGACTTGATGACTATTGTTTACATACAGCTCTGGAAGCTTTATTCCTCATGTATCCATCTATTTCTAGTGCTTTTGAGGTGGGACGACCCTGGATATGATGCGACGGTGCTACATGAGACGTCTCAGAGTGGCAAATTAATATGATCCTGTTTGATAACGAGAGAGTGGGATATGGAATTATTATAGGTCCCTGGTTTCTTTTCTATTTTATTTTATTTTACTATTATTATGTATTTTTCTTTTTTTTTTTTTTTTTTTTTTTTTTTTTTTTTTTTTTTTTTTTTTTTTTTTTTTTTTTTTTTTTTTTTTTTTTTTTTTTTTTTGTTTCCATGGGTTGGACGAGTCAGGTCGCGGTGGTGTGTATATAGTTGCGGGACTATTTAGTGACGGTCCACATCAAACACCATAGCAACTGAACCAAACTCCGGCAAAAAGTCACTTAATAAAATAATTCCATTCATTTTAAATTATTGCTTGCAGCGCGTCGCGTGTCCCCGCATTCCACCTTGCCCCCGTCAAAAAGGAAAAAGAAAAAAAAAAAAGATCTTCTAAATTACTATACTAGTAAAATCTCATAGGGGGTTTTATTCATGGACCCTCCCCCTGGTCCGTTTTGACTTGGTTCCTCAGTCTTCGTCAACCCCAAGGACCAAAGCAATAAAGATGCTTACATAGTACCTGCGACAAGCTATGAATTTCGCCGACCCGACAAAACGACAAGACCAACCGCAACCCAACATGGCCTCCCAACCCACTCAGGCCCAACTCAACCTTGCCGCTTTGGCCAGTTCACCATCGCCGCGAACGATGCGAAGTCTGCGCAAGATTCAATCCCATCAACTTCTCTCGTCCTCTCAGCTCTCCCAACCCTCAAGCGCCCGGTCGTCCGCTGGGCCCGAGGAGCTTTCTCAGCCAGCTCAACTAGAGTCGCCGCTGCGCCTGCGCACGCATCGTCGAGCCCGATCGAATAGCGACGCCTCAACCCGCGAGCCTCCTGCTATTGGGACCCAGCGACGACCGGGAAGGAAAACGGGCTCAGGTTTTGGCATCAAGAGATCGGTCCTGGAGACGTTGTTACGAGATGGACCACAGCAGGGAAATGTCCGCGAGGGACTACAAGAGCTGAGATACTTGATTTTGTCCACGAGGGTAGAAGCGGATGCGGACGGCATGGTATGTTTTCTCTCGCCCTGAGCTATAGAACAGCTACTAACCCTAAATCCAGTCATCATATCGAGTGTACCTATGGCTATCACTTTTGGATATCCCCCCTGTTCCGACAGACGAATATCTCTCTCTCATCTACCGCGGCCGCTCGCCAGCGTATACTAAAATCCGCAATGACACCTTCCGCACGCTAGCCACCGACCCCTTATTCAAACGCCGTGTTACAGAAGCAAGCTTAATCCGACTCCTCAACGCAGTAGCATGGAAGATTCACGACGCAAAGAACAAGAACAAGGCCAAAAAATCTCGTTCGTCCATGACCCGTCGACGAGAGATGGAGCTTCTCATCAACACACCCCCTAGCATCGCAGAGGAGGAATCGAGCCCAGAATTGACCACATCGAGCACCAGCCGCAGCAGCACCATCACGAGCGACTCGGCGATCTACGTACAGGGCATGAACGTCCTCTGTGCCCCGTTCCTCTACGCCGCGCGCAGTGAAGTGGAGGCCTTCGCCTTGTTCCATTCGTTCGTCACCCGCGAATGTCCGGGCTATATCCGCGGCGCCATGGACGGGGTCCATCGCGGTCTCCGTCTAGTGGACCGGTGCCTTGAGATCGTTGAGCCCAAGCTCGCCTCATACCTCTTCTCAAAGGGTATGCAGGCCGAACTCTACGCGTTCCCCTCCGTGTTAACCATGTGCGCCTGTACACCTCCTTTGCCTGAGGTCCTCCATCTCTGGGACTTCCTATTCGCGTACGGGCCACACCTAAACATCCTATGCATTGTTGCCCAACTCATCCGAATGAGAGATACCATTCTCGAGAGCCCAAGGTACGTCACGTCCCAGCCTAGCAACCCAAAAAAAAAAAAAAAAAAAAAAAAAAAAAAAAAAAAAAAAAAAAAAAAAAAAAAAAAAAAAAAAAAAAAAAAAAACCAAAACAAGAAACCTCCCCCAAAATCCAGACCCATCACACATTGCCACCCAAATCCACTCCCATCTGACATATCATTCCAGTCCAAACAAGATTCTCCGATCGTTCCCACCCCTCGACGCCAAAGAAATCATCGCCTTAACCGTCCTGATCGTCCGGAAGATCCCCGAACCACTCTACGCCGAACTGATCGACCATGCCAAGTAGATTGATTTCTTCTACATGAGCGTGGCGTCAGCGAAGACCTTTCTTACGTGTATTATTTATGAATTTCCTATTCGGTATTTTGCGCTCTTGGTCCAGAAGAGAAAGAAACATTAATAGCCTGTTTCCGGGGCCGCGGTAATGGCGTTATCTCTTCCTTGTTTTTTTTTTCTGATCTATTCTTTTTTTTTTTTTTTTTTTTTACTATTTTTCTCTTTTTTCCCCCATTTCTTTTTCTCATCTTTCTAATTTTCATGCCTTATGAAGGTGGCCTTGTATTATGACAGTATGATAGTATGATAAAGAGAGAATTTGTATTAGCTGTTAGATGAGTTATGAATGACGATGGCATTTATTATCATATCCTGCGAGTTCCCACTCAATATACAAACATATATCTAATATAAGCCCCAGGCAGCAAGGGAGGGACTCGGACTAAATATAGACACTGCGCTAGAATATATCAAGGCATTACTACTACTGACCACATGGACAAAATAACAATAATAACCAATTAAGTGAATATAAATATAGTCCTCTCTATCTCTAACCATCCTCACACCAACCCCCCAACAACGCCCTCAACATAAAAAGAAAAAAAAAAAAAAAAAAAGGTTTCAAAATAGTTAGTACTCACTATGCAAAACCAAACCCTACTAATATCCCAGCCCAACTTTTCACGTGTAAAACTAGTACCCTAGTAAAAATGGAATGATATATAAACCTCCATAACCCTGACCCTGAACCCTACACCGATCCGCCAGCCCCCCCCGTCCCGTCCGTTTGATGGCTAGCACGATTACCAACGCGAATATATAGCAAGCAGGCCCAACCCACACAGTAAAAAGAAAGATCAAGAAGGGAAAGTAAAAGCGAAGATCTGCAACGGGACAGGATCAACATCAAGTAGTGATCTCATTGCGACCAATCCCGGATCCATTCACGACTAGTGGCCCCGGCCGAGATTTCGTCTGAGGGGGTTCTTCGGTTGTGGGGGTGTGCTCGGGGGTGTAGGCGGTGGTGGTGGTGGTGGGAGGAGCAGAAGAGACGATGGTGACAGGGACCGTGGATGGGGGAGTCAGGGCGTAGGATGCGGCGAAGGGCACGGCGCGGTCGATCTTGACTCTGATCTTGGCGTTGAGGATGATGGAGTTGTTGTAGCGGGCGACGGCGCGTTTGGCTTCGTCGGCGGTGCGGAAGGTGATGCGGGCGAAGCCCTTGCAGCGCGCTGTGGCGGGGTCGAGGGGCACTTCGCAGGATTCGATGGTGCCGGCGTCTTGGAGGTGGGAGTGGAGGTCGGATTGGGTGGTTGTTGGGCTGAGATTCTGGATGAAGATTGTTCGTCGAGGAGAGGTCCTGAGGTTGCCGTTGCTTTGCGGGTGCGGGGCGTAGAAGGGGATTGGGGTGGGCGTATAGCTGTACGTGTAGCTGTAGGGGGGTTTATGGGGTGTTCGGTGGTGGGAGAGGTCCTGGAAGGCGGGCATGGGGGAGACGGGGTATGGTGGGTAGACGGTGAAGGCGAGAGGATCGCAGAAGGAGGGCGAGGGAGGGATCCCCGGCATGTGTTGCGATAGCGGATCGGGGTAGATGGGCATGAAGGACATAACCGGGGCATGTCCGTACTCCGGAGGTGGGTATGTTGGGCTCGTCCCGGCTATCATGGGCCTTGTGGGTATCAGTATGCAGCTTGGGACGCAGGATATGCGGGAATTATATGGAGATGGGGCTTACTCCGGAGATATGGGAGATGGAGGCACGGCCATGTTCTGCGAGACTCTTGGGGGCGTCGAATACCCTGCAACGTAGTCCGACGGGATTCCGCAATGTGGACTCTTCGTTGGCCCTGCAATGGGTCGAGTGGGTGAGCTAGTCCGAGCCAGCGTAACGACTAAGCTCTGTCCTTCCCAGCCGTTGGTCGATAGTCTATCTGAGGAGTTGTTAGCTGGGGACTCGAGGCAACCTTCGTTCTCGCACGGAATACCCACGGTAAGTCCGCCATGCTTCATCTTCGTTTTTCACGATGATCTGGCCCAGTCCGGTGGGAAACCCGTGGTGATCATCGTATACTACCGCTTGTCGGATGTGCAAGGCCGTTTGGCGTACTAGATCCTTCAGTTCTTGCCAGCGACAATGGGCTGGAATCTGTCTCTTCAGTAAGACAGCCATCTGGAAATCCGACTCGCCGCAAGACACTTACACCTTGAAGGAATAAAACGAATTCCTCGTCCGACCCACGTGGTCTTGACTTTCCTTTCTGCGGTTGAGGCATGGTGCAGCTGTGAATAGGGCGATGGATCAATTTGCTCGGGGATGTCTGCGGAGAAAGATAATGCGCGATATCCGAGAAGGCTTCAAGCTGAACCAGGTTTGGCAAAGACTATACCAAGAACGTGATTTCAAACAGCAGCCCGTAAACAAAATCGGTCAACGCCCAGCGGAAATTGGATTGGTAGATGTAGAAGCGATGTGACTGGCGTGGCATGCACTTCCCACAAATTGACTGACCACAAAGGACAGACTCGAATATCATAGAGCGTCCGGATGACCTGGCTAGAAGGCTTTAGAATACGGTCGCTCGTCCGGCAAGAAGTTCCAGAGCGCGCGGGACTGGATCGGAAATCCAAGGTTGAGATGGTAAATCCCTCCTTTAAACATGCAAGGATCGCATGGACGAAGGAACGAAAAAGGAAAAGGAAAGACAGAGGATTGGAACAGATCTGAATCGATCTATTCCGTGCATCCAGGGTCCCACCGGGGAGAAGGTGGGCAAAGATGGCAGCAGGAATCGCAATAGTGCAACGAGGCCAGACACGGACAAAGCCGCCGATGCATCGGCTGACGAATGGAGATGCGTGGCTCAGACAGCGCAAGGGAAATGGGCTGGAAATGCCTCCAGAGTGGATTGGGAACTAATGTTGAGATATGTCAATTTGCCTCCAATCTGATGGATGCGATGGACGCGGATGCGCGGACCTGTTATATGTCATGCATCTATTTCGGTGGGTAAGTAAGCTAAGAGCTCTGAGAAAGGTTGAAGAAGAAGGGAAAGGGAGGAGAAGGGGAGGGAAAAGGAAAAGAAAGAGGGAATAAGGAAGAAAAAAAGAAAACGAGAGCAATATTTGCTTCTTCTTTTTTTATTATTAACATTATTTCCCCCCCCTTCGTCTTTTTGTACGGTATGAATACAATTGTTGGTGCTATGAATAGTGACTTGGACTCCCAAGCCCTCCCAGGCCGTCATGACACACCTTCCGTCTCAGACGACCAGAAAGGAACGACTCTCAGATCCTCGAGGACGCTGCTCTTGGCAATACCATGTTACACCGCTAGATTTCAGGGCAGCCACAACAGGGGAACGATGGCGAAGCTGGAGAGCTCACGAAGAAGTGGAGCATCAGCCCTGCATTTCGTTCTGCGAATGAGAAGGCAACCCGGCTGGACGGCATCATTGTCTGTGAAATCGCATTGTGAGAGAGAGAAGTTGTTGAATAACCGATCATGGATCGGGTTAGACTGGGATCCTGGTGGTCAATAGCTGTCCCATTAGTGAAGATCTGCTGAGGAAGGAATTCACAGGAATTAACGGCGAAGACACAATCACAAAGACAAAACAGACGACGAGCAACGGTGATTGGAAGGGTTCGAAATGTATCCCAGAGTTCACGGCCAGCATTGCTTTTTGGGTTGTCTTCTGATTTGGCATTTGATTCAGCCGGCAAAAAGAGATCAACAGCATTGGTCGATGAAGATGGGGACCCCAAGATGATGCATCATCTTTTCTCTGATAAGCCGCACTCTTGTCCGACATGACAACTTCCCCCCCCCCCAACCAAGAAATTAGTACCTGAGCTATAACTTTTTCTCTTTTCTGTTGACATTTAAAATTTAGAGTCGTCCTGTCAGATCCATCGACGCGTCGATTGAATCTGGTTGAGAAAAGCGTTCTCCGTTGCTCCCTTGATTAACAGCGTTCCGATTTCGCGCTGATCCCCGATCACGTCCGCATATGAGGCATCCATTAATTGCCCAGCACCGCCCAGTCGTGATCAATGACTGCATATTAGGCGAGTAATGGCTGGTCACCGCCAGTACGACCATATGTCGCGATGTAGGGAGTAAGGTGGTTCAGAAACCGAGCGCTACGGAACAGTTTCACAGAAACTCATGGTTGAGAATCGTGACGGTCTGGAGACCGCAAACGCTGCGCCCTAGCGGAAGAGGGCAAAGACTGAATGAATGGAAGGTCCCTGAGCGAGAGACGATGGACAATTATGACGCGTCGAGTCTAGATGAAAGTGGTTATTCAATACTATGACTAACCCTTTTTATTTTGTCTTATTTTGTTGTTCTTTCATTTTCTTGTTCCGCTCCTGTCACTTTTTCAATGAAATAGAATATTCTCCGTCTCAAAACATACGAGTCAGCCACGGAACACCAAAGTAGCTTAGACTGAGTGACCATCTCAATCGAAAAGAAAAAAGACAAGAAAACTGCGGGATTCAACTAAAAATCGATAGTTCGACGATCGATCGATAGCCGACTCCTATCGTCTACCCGGTACCGTGGTTCTGGTATGATCTTCGACTAGCGACTATTGCTTCAACTGGAGACAGAGATGGAGGTATGTACATTGTACAGTGGTCATACATCCCATCAGTTTCCGCCAAATACCCACACCTCGTAATGGCTGGTCAGCGACACCGAGTCATGGGCCATGTCCATGTCCCATCGCTCGCGTGGATCTCGTATAACGAACGCGACTAGTCGGCAATAGACTTTCGGCAGGCCAGTACCGGAAGTTTTGCTTTTTTTTTTTTTTTTTTGGCTGGGAGCCTGCGGACTGGTTTGGGATTTACTACCGAGCACGTTAGTGTGCCTGATTGTTTCTGGAAGGTGTCTAGAATTTAGGGATGCACTTGACTCAACCTACTTGATCCTCGCTTAAGGAGCTCGGTTCCGATGTACTCTTCCTCGTGCAGGAGAAGCTTTTGATCTCCCAAGCAAGGTCAGGGAAATTGAATCGCCGAGAGCTATCTGGATTCGCTCACCGTGTCCATGGAAAGACATCGCGGGGATGGAGAGCAGACCCATGGAATACTCGCAGGGCAAAAGGTTTATGTCAACTGTCATTGTTTGATCCATTCGCCGAGACCTCAACTCACGAAACGTCCATGATTTCACCATTACTTCAACGACATAGACGGAGCGACTTTCTCCGGGGCGTTGGGTAGCAATCGTTGCAACGACAGCCTGAGGATGGTGAAGGAACGGGCAACACCAGATGTACAAAAACCCAAATATCCATACTCGGGCCTACGCTGGGCATCGTCAATGATCGCGTACCCTAGAAACTTCCAATCCCTTACGACAAAAAACTCTCTTATCCCCCTGAACTCCGCAATAGACACACACTATACTAGTACCTCCCTCCAGAGAATAACCCCCCCCCCGTACGGAGTACACATAACCTTCCTTCCTCAGAACATCCAAGCTATCTGAAACTCCCACCCGCCACCGGACAAAAGTAAATCAGTGGAGCCCTACAACTGCTGAAAGTCTGAAACAAATCCTACGAGCTCAAAAACGGAGAAGTCCGGCCACTCATCCCAGCCGAAATGAATCCCGAGAGATATTCGACCCACTGATCAGCTTGGGCTCTCCACAGTAACCGAACGTTACATGGCTGTAAAGGGGGTGGAGTCAGGGTGGTTCGTTTTTTTTTTTTTTTTTTTTT